TTTTGTTGACATATCGTTATCAGCATCACAGAATTAATAAGAATTGGCTATTTTCGTACAGGATATATTTTCTTTATTAGCCAGTGTTATTTTTAGGCAGGCGATTCTGTATCACATGCCGCTTGCTGTTCACGCTGTACGCATACATGCGTATACACACACACACACACACGCACCGCACACGCACACGCACACGCACACGCACACCCACACGCACACCCACACGCACACCCACACGCACACACAAAATACATTTTTCTAATTTTCAATAACTCGCATCCAAAAAAAAATAACGTCAAATTTTGTTGCCCAGCGTAATTTTCTTTCATCCCTTTTGTGAAAAAAATGCAGGCAGAGCTATCGTTCCACACCACCTTGCGGTAGACAGCACGGCGCGCTTTTTTAGTGATATCCCCAGTAGGCTTAATCCATCTCATAATTTAATGTAAAAATTGTTCGAAGTGCTTTCCTCGTTCTCGTAAGCATAGTTCGGCCCTTCGAGTAATATTGTGCGTCGCGCGGTGCGCCATTTCTGGCGTGATGGTACGAAAAGCTTCGCGAATTGCACTTCGCATTTGAGCTTCTGTACCATCTCGCCTGTGCTCGATTAAATTTTTGATTTGATCCCAAACAAAATAGTCGAGCACGTTAAGATCCGGCGATCGCGCCGGTCAGTTGATTGGGCCACTTCGACCCATCCACCTGTACGGATAACGCGCATTTAAAATATTGCGTACCCGACGCGAGAAATAAGCAGGAGCCGCATCGTGCTGGTAAATGAGGACTTCCCGTTGACGAAGAGGAACGAGTTTGAGAAGATCGGGTAATTCATTCTCCAGGAAGTGCGCATATACTTCGCCATTTAGACGTCGCGGGAGAATATGGGGACCAATCTGAAAATTACCGAAAAAGAGTGACTTGAAAACTGCATAAAAATATACTTTGACTCGCATAAAAATAAACTTAATACTTACGATTTGGTTCTCCACTAATCCTGCCCACACATTTATAAACCAGTGATATTGAAAATTACTGACGCGAATTGCATGCGGATTTTCCTCTTGCCACGATAAAAAATTATGGCTATTAAATACTATTAAATAGTGAAACAAAAACTTGGTGTGCCCGGATTGCATTCAATATTTAATTGATAAAATGTATATAAAATGCGGACACGCCAAGTTTTTGTTTCACTAGCTGTGATTGGTCATTTTAGTCACTTTAAGCCTGTTTTATGTAACTTAAATATATTTGAAAAAACAATGGCATTAAACTTTTGCTGCATGTACTTTTGAATGGTTAAACGGTTTATTAAAAAAATATTTTTATTTTATGTCTAATCAAATACTTGACAACTTGTATGACTTCATATTTGTTTTGAACAATTTTTATTTGTTAAAATATAATTTTTGGTTTAGGAAAGATGTAATGTACGATACTTTTTTATATACTTGGCGTAATCTTTTTCTTTTTTTTTTAAGAGTTTTGGTAGGATCTCACTACTTTTTGGTAAACATTTAAATTTGTAAAATGAAATATTATAGAAAATATTTTTGGTTTAGTAAAGATGTAACATTACGATTAAAACCGATTAAAATCGATTAAAACGAATTACGTTTTAATCGGTTTTAATCGAACATTAGCAGGGTAGCTCGCCCCCTTCGGATTACAGGAACAAATAATACAAGACCTATTGAACTACGATTGAAAGCGTAGAAACAGATTTATCATTCCAACTGCAATTTATGATTTGCACACTTAGCTGAGGTAAAGACAGCAAAAATTGCGTCTAGCAGTAAATGCCGGATTTTGCAAAAGATGGCACTTCAATAAGTTAGATAAGGACATTGCACGTGTTTGAGTGAGATCACAAGATATTGTAGGAAGTTCATTTAGAGATATTACTGACACTGAAGAGTTTGCTTTATTGAAAATATCGTACAAATTTGGCCGACCTTTCAACATCCTCTTAAGAGAATGACTGTTTTACTGACAAAAATTTTTGTTGGTTACTAATTACTTCGTATTAATCGCATAGAATAAAATTTCCTGTTCCATGATTAAAACACACATGCTAATGTATCTGGCTCTGGTGCATTTTGTACCAAAAACAGGAAAAATTGAAATATTGAATGAAATATTGAATGAAAAATTAAATGAGTTACAGATTTCGTTATCCATTTTAACCTCAACTATGCTGTCAATTTACCAAAACGTTTCCATTTCGAAAAAAGTTAGGCAGATTATATGCTCGAAATGAAGGCAGAGCCATATGTACAATAAAGAAATAAATATATGTGAGTCGTTAGAATTAAGTATAGAAGCTTAAATAAAAATATATTGGTAACCAACAAATTTGTTTATATATATGCGTGAAATATATTGATGTGTAATAAACATGACACATCACTACACACTACTACATCAATATCGCATGCATACATACTCACAAATTGTCGGTAAAACAGCGGATTTTTGGAGTTTGATCTAAGATTTAGGATCCTCTTAAGCGACACGGTAGCGGCGCAACGCTAAGTAGGTATATATAAAAGTCGGGTGAGACCTGGTGAGTATACGGCACTGGCACTGTCGAAGCGCTACCGCTTAGCTTTATCTAGAAGTTTTGCCTCGTCAGATTTCCGATTTTTAATATCTCGGAAACGAAAGTTCTAATGAAAAATCTAATGACACTTTCACTATATAATGTCGATATGAGCTTTCGATTGAGACCAGTCCGAATGAAATCGGTGCAGTCAATCCCGAGATCTCGAAATCGAGTCTACGAAAATCTACGAAAATGCCACTTTAGCAATTCCAGTCTTCGTCTTCTTCAGACAGTCCATCAAGGCGCATTCACAACGCGAGTGACTGTCGCGTCTAGATGCGTTCTTATGTGAGGTTCTTATATGAGATTACGCGCGTAGTTCGAAAACATAACGTGTCTTTATATGTCATCATTGCGATATATATCCTCGTTGTTTGTGAATAAGAATAATAAAATGTTTAACGCAATACCCTTTTATAACAAATTAATAATATTTGATAATTGTTAATTATAATTAAGGTATACAAATTAAAATAAACTATTGCATTGGTTTAAAATCTATTATTTAATAATCGGGTTTTAACGATGATATCTGTTTGTATGTAAATTGTTAATTAAAACTGAGAAATATAAACTATTACATTTGTTTAAAGTATTATTAAATATAAATATTAAATTAAATATTAAAGGTAAATATTGATAACAACGGATCCAG